TTGCATAAGATGTTAGCTGTGAGTTTTTCATAAATGCCCTTTATCAGATTGAAGAACTTCCCTTCTATTCCTTGTTTGTTGAATGTTTATCATGAAAGGGTATTGGATTTTGTCAAATACCTCTTCTGCATCGATGACCATGTGGTTCTTTTCCTTTGTTCTATTAATGTGATAGATTACATGGATTAATTTTCTAATGTTGAACTACTCTCTCATTCCTGGAATAAGTCCTACTTGGTCATGTTACATATAATCCTTTAAATATGGTGTTGGATTCAATTTGTTAGTATTTTTTCATCTATATTCATAACAGATATGGGTCTTTAGTTTTCTTGTAGTATCTGTCTGGTTTTGATACCAGAGTAATACTGATCTCATAAAATGAATTAGAAAGTAATCCCTCCTCTTCTGTTTTTTGGAAGAGTGATGGATTGGTGTCAGTTCTTTTTTAAATGTTTGGTAGAATTCCCCAGTGAAGCCGTCTGGTCCAGGATTTTTTTGTTGTTGTTGGGAGGTTTTTGATTATTGATTCAGTTTCTTTACATGCTATGGGTCTGTTGAGATATTCTGTTCTTTCCTGAGTCAGTTTAGGTAGTTTGTGTGTTCTAGAAATTTGTTCATTTCATCTAAGTTATCTAATTTGTTGGTGTACAATTGTTTACAGTATTCTCTTATGATCCTTTTTATTTCTGTAGGGCTAGTTATAACATCCCCACCTGCATTTCTGATTTTAGTTATTTGCATCTTCTCTCTCTTTTTCTTTGTCATTCTTGTTAAAGATTTCATTGATCTTTTCAAAGAATCAGCTTCTGGTTTCATTGATTTATTCATTCTATTGTTTTTCATTTATTTCTGCTCTGATCTTTGTTATTTCCTTCCTTCTGGTAGCATTGGGCGTACTTTGGACTTTTTTCTAGTTCCTCAAATTGTGAAGTTATTCATCGGAGATTTTTCTTCTTCTTCCTCTTTTTTTTCTTTTTTTTTTTTCCTTTTTTTATGTGGGCATTTACTGCTATAAATTTCCCTTGGAGCACTACCTTTGTTGCATCCATAAGTTTTAGAATGTTGTGCTTTCCTTTTCATTCAACTAATTTCTTGATTTCTTCCTTTACCCGTTAATTGTTTAATAGTGTGTTGTTTAATTTCCACATATTTGTAT